ATCCAGTTGTATTAAGACTGTCCTTTTTCTTCGATATTAAAAATAAATAAATTTTTAAAAAAAAAAATATATATACTATTTATTATATATTTATAAAAATATTTAACAATAAAATAAAAATACTATTAAAACAATATATTTAAAAACATTAAAATAAATGAAGACATATAAAATAAATAACTAAATTATAATTAAAATAAAACTAAATCTAATTCCTAATTAATTGAAATTATAGGGATTAAATATTTTATTTTCTAATTTAATAATTTAATGACCAAAATAAAATTATCTAAAATTTGAATTTTATAATAAATTAAATTAAAAATATGAACTAGGGATAAAAGAATTATTTATTAAAATTAAGGGATTAAATTTGTCATTTATCCTAAATATATTATTTTAATAAAAAAAACTAAAATGAACAAAATTAAAATTCAAAGACTGAATTAAAATTATTATAAATTCAGTTTAGTGACCAAATATAAAATTTACAAGTTGGGAGGACTACGGACGGGATTTAACTATTTTGTAATTACGCGCATAGTCCTTCCCGAAACGACGTCGTTCGGAAGGACTATAAATGGTCCAAACCGGCTGGCCGAAGGGCCAGCCATTTCATTTCTTTTTTTTTTTTCTTTAAGCAGAAAGAGAGAGAGAGGAGAGAGAGAATTCTCTCTGGCCTCTCTCTAGATTCCCTCACCGGAGGGAATCCGGCAGCCGTCTGCCGCGCGAGTGTCCCCGCCGGCCACCGCATCCGGTGGCCGGAAAATTTATTTTTATACTATTGGATAGATCGGACCGTAAGGACGGTTCCGATGTTCTTTTTCCTAAAATGGCTCCCAATCGGAGCAGATCTATAAATATACCTTCGGTATTTTCAGTTCTCGGCGATGTTCAGTGTTTCCGGCGACGGTCAAGGCTTCCTTGGTAAGCTTCTCTCCTCTCTTTTTCCTTCTGTTTTTGTTTTTGCTCTGTTGGGATCGTTGGTAGTTTATATCTCTCTCTATTTTCTTTTTTTTTTCTTTTGGTTCTGTCTCTGTCCCTGGTTTTTTGTCTCCCTCTTTTTTTTTCGCAGATGGGTGGTGGCTTTTATAGCCACCACCGGTGTTCGTCTCAGACTGGTCCGAAGAGGGGCATCGGTGAGTCACCGGACTACCAGTGGTGACTCACCCCGTAGCCTTGCATGGACGGCGGCGTTGATCTTCTGGAAGCATCATTCGGGACGTGGCAGCGGCGGAGGCGGTGAGGGCTTCTGGAAGCAGCAGCGGCGGCGCGGGACGTGTCCCTAGGGTATAGATACCCTAGGGTTTCCTCTGGCAAATGGTGGACCGTTGGATCAAACCAGATCCAACGGTTGAGATTGAGATGGCGGCTGGCTAGATTAGGGTTAGGAAACCCTAACTGGAAACCCAAATATTTAGGGTTTCTGGTTGGATTTGGACGGGTGGTGGTTGGTAACTGGGTGGTCCATTGTAATTGGGCCGTAATTATATTATTTATTTATTTATTTTTAATAATATTTATATGTATTTAATATATTTAATATAATATAATAATAATAATAATAATAATGATAATAGTAATAATAAATAATAATAATAATAATATTATAATAATAATATGGATAAAAAATTAGTATCTTCAAAAGGAACAGTGAAACCTACGTCGGAGGAGACTGGCGGAGGGGGGATTCCGATTGGCTTCCTCTTCGACATTCAAAACGACTCCATGATTTCCATTACTCCCGGAGTTCTCAGCCATGACTGTTACTTTTTATACTACAAGAAAATGAACCCAACACCAACAGTGAAAAGAGAGATGGAGGAGGAAGATAAAAGGAGCAATAAACGTTGTGGAGCCATTTTTTTTCTCTTGTCAACAAATGAAGCTGTGAATCACAAGTAGGAAATAAAATAAAATTTCCTCTAAGCTGGAAATCAATGGATTCCATGGTGGCAATGCATTATCCTTAATTTAATTATTCCCACTCTCACCCAACAATTTGTCCACTTCTACCTATTCTATCATCCTCATTCACAAATTTTCTTTTAAATTAAATTGCCCCATAATGGGGTGTGTGACATGGGATGTGATCCAAGAATTTCTGAAAAAATCTATACTAGCTAATATTGGACTCTGTGATCATATAAAACGAAAGAAAGTAATCAAATCACAACAAACAAATATGATTCAACTCCAATTACATTCCAAAAGTTTTCTACATAAAATTTAGTTGCATCTACAAACTTAATTTTCAAGAATATATGTTGTGGAAGAAGCTTTAGGAGATGCTATTGGAGAACGTAGATAAGGTGCAGGTGGAATTTGCAGTGATTGAATATTCCCTTGGAACATTTCGAGAACCTTGGTCATTGATGGTCGAACTGCTGGAACTGATTGAATGCACCAAAGGCTTACCAGTGTCACTTCCTTGTTATTTCATCTTCACTGTTACTCCATCAAGATTGGAATTCATAGCATGGTCAAGATGATTATAAATCCATGAAGGAAAATATATTCACTGGTTTGTGACGCATCAAAATTGAAATTTTTTCTTCCTCCAACCATTTCTAGGACCATCATTCCATAGCTGTAGACATCGGATTTATGAGAAACTCCTCCAAAGTTTCGACAGAACACTTCCGGAGCTATATCCAGCTGTTCCTCTAGCTCCTGTCAAGGAAATCATACTCTTTTCTTTCGCATAATTTAGAGAGACCGAAATCAGATATCTTGGGGCAAAAGTTGTCGTCCAAAAGGATGTTGTGAGGTTTAATGTCAAAGTGCAAGATCCTTGTGCTACAACCTTGGTGCAAGTACTCTAGCCCTCTAGCGATACCAAGAGCAATGTCATACAAAATTTTCCACTCCAGTTGGCGACTTGTATCACATCCTTGGCGATAAATGAATTTATCCAACGATCCGTGGGTTGGCGACTTGTATCACATCCTTGGCGATAAATGAATTTATCCAACGATCCGTGGGCATGAATTCATAAACCAAGCTCGTTCCGTTCTCGTAACAAAAACTAGTAGAGTGACTATGTTGACATGAGAAGTTCTACTAATGCTAGCCACTTCATTCAAGAACTCCTCCCCGTCCCCCTTGGATCCACTCAGTAGTTTGACAGCCAAAGAGAAGCGTCAGGTAATTCTCCTTTGTATACATGCCATATCACCTTGGCCTAACTTGTGGAGGAGTTATTAGTCATTTCTTGATCTCATTGTAAGAATAGTGACGTGGGCCTCGAGAACCATATGTTTTAATAAATGCGTCAAAATTGTCTTTATGTTCCTTTGATGCTGGTCCTCTATTCCTAAATACTACTAAATACAAATGCACATCATCCCATGATTGAAACAGATCCTGTGACTCCTATATGTGGAGATGGCGAGATTGATAAGTTATCAATTACCTCTATCATATTTTAAAATTTTAATATTAATATAAAAATATTATATTATATTCCTTACCTAGGATTACTTTGAGCTTGATACCCAGAGGAACCTGTAAGCACAAGAAGGACCAAATTAAGTGGTTCAAACAAATACTTCACAATTGAATAATTGACTTGAAACAAATCAGCTCACACCTCAACTTTGTAGTGGAAAAGATGTTAAAATTGATAATACAAAATTTAATGAAACTCAGAAATGAACAATCAAATTTTTTTAACAATGTATTAACCTAAGTATTCATTAAAAGAACGATAATTCAAGGATAGAAATTTGATATAACTTAACCAACATGCCTTTCAATCCCACTAACTGTCCCAAATGGGGCGAGTCGCGTGGATGCGTCCCCAAATGGGGTGTGTGCATTGTACCCCCAAAAAAATCTTTTAAGTATAACATTTACTATTGTTCTAAATTTTAAGTGTATTATGGTTTATCTATTTAGAAACAAAATTTTAAATTAAACCTTATTTTAAAGGAGGTGTTGGAAAGAATATCTCTAGCATCGTAATTAATAAATTAAGATAAAAATTACTAATAGTATTTAGATCATATTATCTTAATAAATTCCTTTTAAGTTGAACCACTCTAGATTTAGGTTCTAATGTTTTGTTAATTGTTCTAGAGAACATAATGATTTTCTAAAAAAAAATCTAAATATTTGCTGGTCTTATGTAAAATATTTTATTTTATAGATTTTCTTAAAATTATTTTATGAATTTAATTTTTATTATATATGGAGACCTGGAAAGAAAGGAGGGTTAGATGATAGTACTTAGGAGTTGACTTGCTCAAGAGCTGAGTTAAGGTCATATTCACATTTCAACCTATACAAATATCCATTTCACAATTTCAAAATAAAAATATTCAAAATATAATTTTGTATATTATATAGTTTATAATTAAATATTAGAAGGCGTTTATAGACTAGGTTCAGGTTCGATACCAAATAAATTCTAGGCCTGGTCTAAACCCGCCTATGTAATTACCCAATTTTGTTTTTAAAAAAAATAAAATATATAATTTTATATTAATATTTTGTATTAGTGCATTTAAAAATAATAAAATATTTTTAAATTATTTAATTAATATTCGAATCAAACCATGTCATGAGATCAAAATCTTGCTGGAATCTGGCTCAAGTGAGCCCAATATATGGACTTATTTATTAATATCATAAAAAATATGTTTAATTTTATTCGGATCCAGTTGGCCTATAGACAGAAAATTCTTATTTGAAATCTAACCCAAACTAATGATCAGATCGAACAAACCACTCATGAGCAAGTAAGAATATTTAATTCCATCTTATGTTAGAAAATGGCTCGAAAAGAATTATAAATTATTTTTAAAAATATATATAATTATCACCCTTGTCAAATTATTCTACAAAATAAATACATATATATATACACTTTAGTAAGATATTTATTAACTTACATGACAAGTTCAATATAATTAAAATTGTATTAATTTTATTAAACCAAGAGATTAACCTGATCACGTAGAAAACTTGTGTGAATTAAACTAGATCTGTTTTGACCGCATAATGAACATCAATGGTGGGTATGACATAATAATTAAGGGTTTAATTAAAACTTTTGAGGGAATTAAAAACTATTTTTTCAGAACTTTGGGGGGCAAGTGCCGTATCATTAACGTACATGTTTTGTTGGTGATCATACCTGAGGCTGAGAGGGAACCATCTTCTCTCCATTGCACCCCAAAGCCATTCTCGATTACCACGCGCAGAATAATTGAACCTGGATTGTGCTCCAAAAACCTTTAAGATTGAAACGAATGCTGGAAGAAGACATGGCTATGCATGATGCCATGGCATCCCTTGCTGCAACTGAGAGCTGGGAAAATGAAGATGTAACGACGAAGTAGCCTACATCATTCCTTCCTCCAGATGTGCTGCAATTGAACTGATGATTATAAAGCCCTTCATACTGAGTTGCATTGGCCGGGCAATCATAATAGAGAGAAATGTTGTTGGTATTCGAAGCAGGGTAAAAGGGGCTGAGATTCAAAGAGATGTTGGAAAGATTCTCTGGACAAAGCACGTCACCATATTTACTCACCGGAGCAATAGTGAGAGATTGAAGGGAGGTGTTGTATACCAGAACTTGGTAACTACGTGAACCGATTGTAATAACCGGAGAACCGTCATCCGGACAAACAAACTCAAATCCCGGCTTCCCACAACCACGTATTTGATGAAATGGATAACTCACATTTTTTATGAGTCCACAATTGAATGGGTTCTTACATTCTGCGGAATTCCAGCTTGTACACACCACAACTTGGATTGAGAACAAGATTGCCACCACTCCAACATAGTGTAAAGTTCCTGAGATGTATTTCAACCAAATTAAAACCAAAACATTAAATAAATTAAATAAATAAATACAAATTGCGCAATAATACCCAAAAACATTGTCACCAGTTCCATCAAAAAAATGCTGAATAACTCGATAACTCTCAAAGAAGTCTAAAAGATGCCCGAATCGAGGAAATATCCCAGAAATTGAAATAAGACCGAGGAAATGTCTCTGTTCCTTCTAAGATATTGAAAATACGAAAGGAAGACTCCAAAGACTAATAAGACATGCGCAAATACATTTCATCACGTTCATATTTATTATCGGTAGTTGTGATAATATACAATATTGAATCTTGACATAATACATATAATAAATATAGTTAAGTATATCTATTTTTTAAATTAAGGGTGTTTATTAGTAGGTATTTGTGTTTTTGGGTATTGAAGATTAGAATATATATATATTAAAGTAAAATTGTGGCATGTGTCCTTATTATGAGTATTGTTACACCCCAATTTTCAATATTAATTTATAATTAATTAAAGGACTAAAATGATAATTTTTGAAAATTCTTGGGGTAATTTAAAAGTTTGGAAAGTTTATGGACTAGTCGCATAAATTTCCCATAACTTTTTGTAAAAAAAAAACAGCTACCCGTTCGTGAGCCAGGCACCAAACCCCTTCCCTCCCCAGTGAAAGCCTTAACACCAACCAGAGCCCCCGTTCACCACTTGGCAGCTGCACCGGTCGTCGGTGCAGGTCACCGTCATCCCATCAGGCATGCCCAACCTCCGTGACATAACCCTAACTAACCCCATTTCGAAAACTAACATCGTTTACCGTGGAGAAGTCAGTAAAGCTCTGTCGAAACCCCCTTCTCCTACCGTCTCGCCTCACTGCCGTCACCAACGTGTTCCCCGACCTTTACTGCACAAAACCCGACCCAAGGTGTTTCCCCACTGTCGTGTTTTCTCCTGTCGTCGTTGGTAAGGGTTGCGACCACTCTTTTTATCCGTTTTCATCGTGATTTTGTTTAGATATTGGGGTAATTTGGAAATAATATGTTTATATGCATCTTGTGGAGTAATCGACCTGCCAAATGGGCCCTCATCGCCGCGTCATGTGCCAGTAGTGTGTATGGGGCTCTCCAACCGATCCAGTCAAACTAGTATACACCAGGTCTGTTTGACCCGAATCGTGTCAATCTGACCCGAATCGTGTCAATCTGACCCGACCCATTTACTTTGACATGACCCGTTGACTTTGACTGTAGTTGAACGTTGACTTTGACCAAAAAGTTATTTTTTAAAAAAAAAAATCATATTTTATGTTTTTCGACGTCTTGAGTTCGAATCCGAAGTCTTTTTCCCCAAATTCAAATCCGATAAGCTTTTTCAGTATTTTATCTTCTGATTAGATCAGTTTTCCGCAATTAAGCCCCGTTTCTGATGTAATTTCTATTTATATGTATCCAAGATATTAATGGACGTTGGATTCAAGTTCGAGAGTGATCGAACGAAGTTTAAATATTCGATCGATGGAGCACACATAAATTGAGATAATAATTTACTACCCCATGTATGCTTTATGGTACATGTCGGTGATTTGTAATGCATGATTGGAGTTATTGGTCAATTACATAGAGTTAATTATTGATAGACTCGAATTGAATATGGTATAAAGACAGTAAACCCAATAAGACTCAATTGACTCGTGTAAGGAACTAGAATATCGTTAAAAGATAAATCTAAGTTCGGTGATTTAATGTAACATCCCAAAAGCGGGCTAGTGACCAAAATATAAATTTTGAAAGTTTGAGGATCAAAGTAAAAATTGGGAAAAGTTTAAAGACATAATTGTTATTTTCCCAAAAAGAATTTTATTCCATAAATGGATTATTATGTGACCAAATTATAAATTTGGTAAAGTTTGGTGACCAAAGTATAAACTGAACCAAAATGTAATTTTAAAAAGTTACAAATGGGTCACGAAAATAAGAAAATAAATATATTTTTTCACATTTTTAAAATTTTGGAAAATAATATTTAATGGTTTAATTCCATGTTTAATTGGAATTTGGATTAAAGTGACAAAATGTAAGTTTTGGAAATTGCAAGGGTAAATGGTAAAGTGGGAAAATATTTTGTTCATCTTTGACTATTGGAAGATGATAAGGTTGTTGTGGCTTTGTATTAATGTAATATCAAGTTCATTAGGGTAAATTAGTATAGATATTTTAATTTCAAGGATAAATTGGTAATTTAGTATTTAATGAATTTTTAATTCATTAAATATTAAAAAAAGATGAAGATTATCAAAACTTCTTCATTTCTCCAGCAGCAAACATGAGCTTTTCCAAGGTAAGAAAATATTTTTGTTTTCAATTTTTGAGCCAATTCCTTTGGAATTCGAGTTATACTGTGAAATAGGAAAGTGATCTACGCGAAAAAACGTTATCATTTTGTACCAATATTGTTTCTAATCTTGTTGAATTTCAAAGATCCCAAATCTAAGTGTTTATATTTATGATATGATTCACGAAATTGATGATAAATCTTGATGAATTAGAGGTTGTAGATTCATTTTCAAGCTTGATTTATGGTTGAAACATGTTCAATCTTTCTAGAAATTATTCTTTGAAAAATTGAACATGATGAATTTGAGTGAGAAAAATTATGAAAAAATTATATAAGGTCTGAAAATGTTGTGTAGAAAGTATTCTATAAGCCTTAGAAAATTTGGGGACCATTTGTAATTTTTGAAAAAGTTGAGGGGACCAATTTGTAATTTTTTGAAAAGTTGTAAATGGTTGTATAATTGTTAATAGTTGATGTACTATGCTGGAAATTGTTGTTTGGGATTGAAATGAGCATTTAAATGTGAAATATGACCATTTTGGAAGTTTGAAAAGATTAGTGATTTAAGTACAACATTCACATAGTTGGGGTGCAAAAAGATAATTGTACATTTGTAAAAGTAATTGGTTGGTAATAATTCCAATACTGGAATTTCTTGAATTTATGGAATTTGTTGAATTTTGGTATTTAAATTTAAGTGATAAAATGGTGAATGACCACTTTATATAAATTGGAAATGTTAGTGTCAATATTAAAAGGAATTATTAAATGTTAAGTATTTTGATAGAAAGAGAGTTTCAAGTATATTATGGATTTGTTTTGGGGATGTGTTTATGTTAGTATAATACTAACATATGTATCTTTATGAAATTGTGATTTGTACAGATCGTGATTGATTTGTGACTAAGACAAGTCAAGTATAAAAGGGTTATTGTGGATTATAGTGAGGAACATCTTTTGGACATATAAAGTGTCAAGGTGAGTGTAAATTTAATTTGTACCAATGTTATAGAATAAACATTGGCTTGCGATGAGCCAATGACGGAGTTACTATGGTAAGAAGTGACTCCTAAAATGTTATTTGAATTGTGATGCATGCATAACATTATATATGGACGTTTTATACATCGTTGGGTAGGATTTGCGATAAGTCTATTTCCCATGTTGGAATGCATGATTTCATAAGTACAAGCATGTGATTGATATGATACTTATGTGTGCATGAGTACATGAAAATGGGCATATGTGACATGATTTACATGATATATGAAAATATGATATCAGTTGTGTGATATGTCTGACATGTTATTCTATGTGATATGATACGATCTGCATGATTACATGCACATGTGATATATGTGAATGATATACGTGATTACATGCACTTGTGACATATTATGTGACATGGACCTATGTGACTACATGAGAAAGAATATAAGTTATGTGACTATGTGAACATGTGAATATATGTCCATGAGAAGACATAGCCATGTGACATGTGAATATACTTAAATAATACATGTTATATGATATGAGATATATGTTTACACATACATGTGGTATGTGACAGAAGAGAATGAAGATATGATTATAAGAAACAATATGAATACATGAATTTATGCAACATAATGATATTGCCCATGATAGGTGACATTAGAGCTATAGGTATAGTTGGCATGCCAAGAGTCGAGGGTTACCTATGTTCTTCGGGACATATAGACAGTTTACCTATGTTATTCGGGACATATGGACAGTTTACCTATGTTCTTCGGGACATATGAACAGTTTACCTATGTTCTCCGGGACATATGGACAAATTACCTATGTTCTTCGGGACATATAGACAGATTACTTATGTTCTTCGGGACATATGGACAGATTATTATACGAGCTGTGGTGACAGCATATGTGTGCACACCTTAGTGCACTCACATACCTTGAGTTCTCAGTAATGTACATGGGCTATAAAAGATCTCAGTAATGTTCATGGGCTTATAAAAGATATCAATACTATATATGGGCCTACAAAAGATATCAAACGTATACACGGGCTAGTACATGGGATATTAAAGTGATAACATAAATACACTGCATGTGATGTATATGCTTTGTCATGTGAAGTATATTACAAGATTTATATGTGATACTATGTGTATTGCTTGGTAAAATGTATTATGTTCTCAATAATGTATAGACTGGTAATGCATGCCCACGTCTTAACTGAAGACCTCTTCTGCGATAGCTTAGGATGAATAAACTGTGCCCACGTCTTATGCGAAAACCTCTTCTGGTATGGGCTTATAAAAGATATCAAAAGTGGTTGCATTATTATATGATATCATGTTATTATTGTTTACACTGAATCTGCCCACGTCTTAACTGAAGACCTCTTCTGCGATAGCTTAGGATGAATACTGTGCCCACGTCTTATGCGAAACCTCTTCTGGTATGGGCTTATAAAAGATATCAAAAGTGGTTGCATTATATATGATATCATGTTATTATTGTTTACACTGAATCATAAGTGTACCATAGGCAAATAAAATAAATTGAATTTCATCTTCAATGAGTGAGATGTTATTATGTTAAATGCATGATTCTATTTCACAAATGTTAATTGCAGATGACATGTTACAAAGATTAAGTACAATGATATGTCTGAAATTGGTTAATGATAATGATAAAGATCATGATATGATGTTGATGTTATAATGATGGCATATGTGCATATGCATTCTGTTATGTGAAATGTTCTATGGTTTCTATTACATGTTTTATATACCCCAAGTCATTTAGCGTGTGATTGTTTCACACGTAGTTTCAAGAAGAAGAGAAGAAA